TTTGAAACGTATAGTATAAATCTGACGGGTCGGCGGCTCGGCGCATCCACATCATWAAACTCTTAGACATACTTACTGCATATGATAAAATTAACAATATTATGATCGTATATATAATTTCAAATTTGCATTATAAATGTTTAGAAATACAATCATAGAGCGATATACTTATTTTAACTATATTATGATGTGTGTAGACGTACGTACACGTTATTCACGTACGTTTGGCCAGCCCCCCCCCCCAAAGGAAAATCTATAAACAAACTATACAGATATTCAGCACGTAATAAGCACGAATTTGCTCACCTAGTTTGAAAATTCACACGACCTTCCTTCCCCTCAAAAAACAAAAAATTCATGCGACTTACGTGCTAAATGTCTGCAAAAGAAAAATTCCGAAAATGTTAATTTGGATCACTAGGGTGGGGAGGGTTGGCGAGACATGTAGCTGACCCCCCCTCGTGATTTTTGTTTTTCGAGGGGAAGGAAGGTMGTGTGAATTTTCAAACTATGTGTGCGAATTCGTGCTAATTACGTGCTAAATATCTGTATAGTTTGTTTATAGATTTTCCTTTGGGGAGGGGGGGCTGGCTAAACGTAAGTACATTATTCGGTGGTGTACACACAATAATGTGGCGTTAGACGTTTCGTGCAGAGGAAACGCAAGTAATTAAAACGTTTACCGCAGGCGAGTGTATTCGGAGTTGGAATAAGCAGTAAATATTACGATAATGCGACGATAGAAATATTACACGGGGAAGCAAATATAACGACCAAAACTTTCACTGCACGATGGTAAATCGTAATGTTTTAATAACACTGTTATTTGAAGACGAATTATGATTAGTGCTTTATAATATTAGCACTGTAATTATTATAATAATTTTAATTATTGTAATTTAATATATTATTATAATTAAATACAATTAATTAATATTTTGGTAGGTGACTTCTCGGTTTCGATAAATAAACATAAATCTGGTTTGAATTCTAAAATATTACTATGAGTTTGGTATCCACTGAAACCCACTGATTGTTTTTTTTTTTTTTTAATATTAAGGTTAGGTAGAAAACGTTCCGAAAAGAATCATATTTTTTCATGATACACTCAATGGTAGTAATAAATTAATAATTAGATAATATTGTAATAATTATGTATATTATAAAATATATCTATGTTGTAAACTATTTTTTTTTTCGTATCAGCGTTTTATGTAGGTACATATTTATCATGCTCTGAAGAAAAATGTATCAAATGTAAAAWTTTTAGATGATATTCAAGCCCCCTCCGTACTTAAAGTCCTAATTACACATTTACACCTATATATTATATTTATTCAGTTATACACCTCAATTGTAAGTTTATAATATTAGCGGTTGCGATTGAAAATATTGTGGTTTTTAAATCATCCAGTAGAATTAACGTATGATTGAAATGAAAAATTAAATATACATTTTTCAAATAAATAAAAAGTTATTAAAAAGTAGTTATAGGGTTTTAAGTATATACCTACTTATAGATGTTATGCAATTTATATTAGAGAACAATAATTTGAAGAAAACCTATTCTGAGTTATGTATTATTCTAAATAATAAATATTCAGGTATRAATTTGTTTTGAAAAGCTTATATCTGTAATTTTTTTAAATAATTCCGATTTTTTTATAGTTAATATTATTTGCAAAACGTCGATGAAATTGTCTCTTGAAAAATTTTCTCTTTTGCATATTTTCTTACAAGATTTTTAGCCTAAAACCACTTTTGATTGCTGTTTTATTTGTTTTCTGTGGAAAATGGGCAAGTCTGTTCAGACTTCGTGAATCTGTTCCATGTCCACCAGTCCCACTACCCCAGGTTGGCACTGTGCAACAATTGTAATAAAGATTGGTTATAATATATTGTAATTATAATTCACTTGTATATATTTTTGTATATATTTATATTAGCTCCTTGTATCTAGTCCAGGGTGTGCGAGTTATAGGTGCCACCCGCAGAGACAGGAGCTCCTAGTGCGAACAATACCACTTTAAACAGTCTGTACTCAGTATAACAACGATGTACTGTCTTGTGTATAATGCTACTTTACCTAATATTGTATAGATTAATGRTTATGGTCTTATGTACTATATATCAAATTTGTACAATATTACGTTATTAACGATATGGCATGTATTATTATTAAATAAATCAATTTATGAATATGGACAAAAATATTATGTGAATAAGCTATTTCTAAAAAAAAAAAAACACCAACTTTGATCTGAC